TATTGTTGCAATGTATTTACTAAATTATTTAAAATATTATAACACAACGTAAGGAGCACGTCCATCAGTCAGAACCACACTTTGCAAAAGAACGAAACGAACATGAACGAACACGAACGACGAGCGACGAACAGATAATCATTTCGATAAATAAATTGAGTAAAAGAATTATAAATAGATTTAATGATAAAAGACATATATTTTGTTTATATAATATTGATATTTATTGATAATAGATAGTTTTTATGCGTTTTAAAGTGTAAATTAAGTCTTTAAGTTTGTAGTTTTGAATTTGCCGCCATTACGCAAGTATTGTGTACACTCAACGTCAAAAAATATTACGATTTTGTGCTTAGTTTAATTATCGTAATTTAAAAATTATTTCTACTTATTTGGTCTTTGATTGATTAAATAGACTAGTTGGTTTGGTATTTAGCCTTGAGGCAAATTACATGAACTTCCCGATATGTGTAAATAATCGACTTGATCAAAAAAATGTGTAAATAATATACTTCATCAATCCTACTTTAAAAAAAACGATAATAATTTTAGCAAAGTTTGACGAATTTTTAAAATTAAACTACTTGTTGTAAGGCCGTAATATTACAGTAAGTTCTATAACACCATGATGTATATCGCCAAAAAAAGTTCCATGAAAAACGGCTTAAATTTTTTTTTTCAAGAGTTAATTACAAGAAAACGGCTCGGTAGATTTTCACCTAAAATTAATCAGCATCATTCCCAATGATATCTTTCGAACAGTTTTTGATTTTTCAAAATCGGTTCGGTAGGATGAGCTTAAATGTGGACGAAAATTTAACACTTTTTTTCAACATTTAATTACAAGAAAACGGCTCGGTAGATTTTCACCTAAAATTAATCAGTACCATTCCCAACTAATATTTTTCGAACAGTTTTTGATTTTTTAAATCGGTTCGGTAGGATGAGCTTAAATGTGGACGAAAATTTAACACTTTTTTTCAACAGTTAATTACAAGAAAACGGCTCGGTAGATTTTCATCTAAAATTAATCAGTATCAGTTACCGTTTTCGGCACTTTTTGCCCCGTATCTTCGGAACGGCTAGACCTGCCTTCGCCAAAAACTAATCAGCACGTCTCCTTATCAATACGAATCGAATGTTTTTTGAATTATTCAAATCGGTTGATCCGTGTTCCCGAAATCGTCGACGAAAATTTGTATCCTCACATACATACACACACGCACATACATACATACATACATACATACACACACACACACATACATCCATTTTTTCTAAGGTATGCCAAAATGTTCAGAAACCTTTGAAACGTAAAGATATATAAAAATTTTCATTTTCGATTTTTTTGCGATTACTATAACTTGCCCTACGGGAAGTTAAAAACATTTCACTTGTATTGACAAGATGAAGAATCGATAAAATTTTCATGAAGGTAGGTCTAGCGGTTTCGGAGATCTAATGAAAAAAGTAAAAAAAAATGCCATTCGGCGGTTAAAAATGATCATTAGACATATGCACATCAAATTGTCAGATATTTTATAGAGATTTTAACAATAAGTATGAATTTCTTTTACATTTCTGTGGGTTCCGTACCAATGCTTATGCGTTAGACGGCGGCGCGGCACCTGCAAGCTTTGACATTTCGTCTCTATGCAGTTCAAGCAGTGCGATTGCTTTGAAATAAAGTTCAGAATTTTCAAAATATGTCAAAATGAAGAAAACATTTTTTTTCAAAAAAATTTTTTGTTTTCAAAAAAAAATTTTTTTCTCAAAAAAAATTTTTTTTTTCAAATAAAAAAATTTTTTTTTAAAAAAGTATTTTTTGTCAAATTTATAGTTTCTCAAAAATCTATTTTTTTCGAAGTAAAATTTTTTCAAACATGTTAATCGTTTTTGAAAAAATAATAATTTTTGGCACGGGAAGTTCCAGCAATTTGCCTTAAGGCACGATGCCCTACTTGCCTTAAGACAGAATTCCACTTACAGCTAGTTACTCCTTAAATAAAAGCAATAAATTTTTTTTTCCTTTTAAATGATGATCATTTCCTGATATGGAAATGACCAATCAAAGAGAAAGGGTACTTGTAGTATCAACTTCCCCCTTCCAAAGCTCTTAAGTTGTGAGGCGTGTCTTATAACTTCTTTGTTGTTTTTGTATCTTATCCGGTATCTGTCTTTCTCCATGACTTCTACTACAGTTCCTTCATCAGAATATTTCGGCTCCATCTTGCTGCTCTTCAGCTCATTTTTTACTAATACTTTTTCGCTCACGCTCAAGTTCTCCTGCTTTCTTGAATACTTTTTAAATTCTTTCGCATATCTTTCCGAGTTTTTCTTAACTAAATCGTAATTCTCCGGCTTCATCGCTTGATTTGGGCTTAATCCTATTGCCCTATGTTTAATGCTGTTGTAGTTGTTTATAACATCCTTCAGCTTTATTTTTATCATTTCACTACATAGTTCTCTTTAGTGCTTCTCTGATAGTTCTATTGATTCTTTCTACCCTGCCATTGCTAGGATGATAATAAGGAATACTAAACTTGTGCTCTATGTTGTTTTCCTTTAATTACATTTCTAAATCGTTAGACATGAATTCTTTACCGTTGTCGGTCTGCAATATTTTAAATTTCAAATCCTTATATACCTCTTTTATAAAGTTTAGTATTTTATAAAGTATAATCACTATGATTCTTTCATTTTTGGAAATCTCAAGCATATCTGCAGCCACCCTCTCTCCGGGAAACGAAGTTTGTATAAAATATCCACTTTTTTTAGATTTTTTGTCATTTTTCTTGCACACTAAACAGTTCTTCAAAATTTTACCTGAAGTGTATTTCTTGATGTTGATATTATACTTCTTTAATTAATAATATATCGAATTTTTTTCCGATGAACATATATCAGTTGTGTTGAACAATTAATTTAAATTCGACATTACACGTGTATTCCATTAGTTTTATTGTTATAAACGTTTTATTGTTAATTTCATATGTATAAATAATAGAATTATTAATACAATCGATAACAATTAATAACAAGATAAAAAAGAAAAGGACTGTACTGACGAGCAAACTAGAACAAGACAAAAAGTCTTACAAAAAGGGCGTTCCTGAAAAGGACAAGAAGTTCTATGATTTTTAGAAATTCACTAAAGGTTGGAATAAAGTATTAGGCGTTCTTGAGACGTACACAATATGTAATAATTTAAATAATTGCAGGTATAAGTTTGTTTAAAGATACCAATTTGGCCATCACAGTTTGAGGATTCTTTGCGTGTGAACAATTCTAACATGGCGGCAATGTGGCCAACATTGACATGACGATTATTTTGACGTACAAAATAAACTTTCTATTATTTACATTACATTAAAATAGACATTATACATAAATGGAGTAATTTATAAAAATAAAAGTAATTTATAAAAATATTCCTGTTGAGATGATAAGATTGAAGATGATTATCAAAACCATATCAAAACATTTCTTTCTAAAATGTTACGACGGGAAAAATTCCTAACCTTATGCTGCAAGTATCACCTTAAATTAGTTAAATTTAATATCATTGATTAAAATACATGATTAATTAGTACACAACTGTTTTCTCTGTTATAATCAGGTAAAATATCTAATCATGTCAGAAGAAAAAACTACCTCGATTAAAATTGAACCACTAGAATATTCAGCAGAAGATCCTCAAAATGAAGAGGATATTAAGTCTGAATCTTGTTCAGAGAATGGAGAAACATGTCTGGAAAGATTTATGAATTCTAAAATAACTGTAGAGGAAGAAATCAAACAGGAATTAATGCAGGCTCCTATAAACCCTTTCGTATGCACAATATGTGATAATGCATTTGCTTTAAGACACCATTTAGATCGACTCTCATAACAGAGAACTGCCAGTTCATGCCGGAGAACTTCTTTTGAAGTGCAAAATATGCAACAGAGACTTCCATTCATCAAAAGGTTTGAAACGACATATGTACACTCATACAACATATTGCTCATAACAGAGAACAGCCAATTCATTCTGGAGAACTTGCTTGCAAATGCAATATATGTAACAGAAACTTTTGCTCACCAAAAGGTTTGAAACGGCATATGTTCTCTCATACTGGAAAACAGCAACATATCTGCAAAATATGTGATAAAACATTCACACGATTGATTGATTTCATTCATTCTGAAGATCTTCCTTATAACTGTGGAATATGTAACAAACTATTTCGTTCCGTATATAGTTTAAAAAAACATATGACTAATCATTCTGGAAATTTTCTTCAGAAATGTGGAATATGCAATAAATCATTAGCACAATCTGATGCTTTAAATGCACACAAGTTTATCAATTCTAGAGAATTTCCTTATCAATGTGAAACATGTAGCAAATCTCTTCATGCATCAAAAACTTTAAATAACCATAAAGCTCAAAAATATAAAGTATATGAGAGACACTTGGGTGCTCATGTGAAAGCCAGTGAAATATTTATAAACGGTTATTTCTGTAAACCTGCTCTAATTATTGTGATTATTCTAGTATTGTTCAAATTGATGTACACATTTATATATTGATCATAAGCTTTTAGGACATACAAGCACTTGGTTGTGCATTATAATTAATTTAATTACAGATTTTTTAGTGATATCAGTTCATGCAACTTGCCTCAAGGCAAAATGCTACTTACATCTAGTAGTTTTAGTTAAATTATATATCGATTTTATTAGCAATAATATGTTATTTAATGTCTCTTACTGTGATTGTTAATTTTAAATTTGCCTCATTTACAAATTTTCGTTATATTGTTCTTGTGTTGGCAGCATGTATACATTACGATTTTCATTGTTATGACATGACAGAATTGGCATCACTGGAAGGCTTTTGATATCAACATTCAACAAGACGTTTGTAACCTAGAAGCAAACTTTGCAATAATAATGTTTAATAAATTTATTTTTTAATATTAAATTTGTATATTTAAGTTTTAATTTAGTCAAAAATGAAGAAAGAACGTTCAGTGGATAATTCCAGACCGTTTAAATTATAAGTAGTCGACCAAGTTTTCATTTGCAGGTGTTTAGATATATAAATTCATTAAAAATATTTATTTTACAGCTCATCAAATATTAAGTTTGACTGGTATTAGCTTCGAGAGGAAGAGCATAATTGTAAATATTAAATACAAATAATTTTCACTTTATTTTATCAAACTACAAAAATTTGTGTACTCATTTTTATAATAGGGCTTCGTGGAATTGACAATAGTACCTTTGAAAGACAATTTGAGAAGCATTAAACTAAATGCTAAGCAATGTAGAATTTATAGAGTCACATTAGGCGATTGTGAGGCTACTTTTCAATATTTTGATCCCTTTTTGGATATCTGCAAAAATGATTCAAAGACGTAAGTTGTTCTATGTTTTTACCCATAATTATCAATTTCTACTAGTAGGATTGTTGATAAATATCCTTTCTATTACCAGGAGGTCTTTGGAGGTATTTTCCAAGTGTCACTTAGCGGCTGCTCAAAATATAGATCCTGATTGTAATGCAGGAGAATTATTTATCAATGTGCCCCATGAAGCAAGCCATCTCATTGGTGAAGGTAGAGGTTTAAGAGTTGGAATAGAATTTTCTTTAGAGCAACCTCAAGGTGGCTTGCATTTTGTTGTGCCTGAAACTGAAGCACCATGGAAGAGGTTTGTGAAAGAAAATCACAATATAACTGGCAGTATTTTTATGATTGTTTTTTTTGGAGGGCAGCTCATATGTACACCTATGCACATGAAAACTCATCAAGACTCTGGTTTCCTTGCGTGGATTCTTATGCAGAGCCTTGTACTTGGAGTCTTGAGTTTACTGTTGACGCAGCAATGACAGCTGTCTCTTGTGGTGATCTTGTAGAAATTACTATGACGCCTGATATGAGGAGGAAGACTTACCATTATGTTTTAAATACACCTGCTTGTGCTCCTAATATTGCTTTAGCTGTTGGGTATGGACTAGATATATCAATATTGTATTATTTATCAATAACTTTGTGCTTTTTTTTTCATTCTAGACCTTTTGAAACTTATGTGGACCCCCATATGCACGAAGTGACCCACTTTTGTCTACCACAACTAATGCCATTATTGAAGAACTCTGTTCGATATATGCATGAAGCTTTTGAGTTTTATGAGGAAACTTTAGCTACAAGATATCCATATCCTTGTTATAAGCAAGTTTTTGTTGATGAGGTGAATAAAGTTTCTTTAGAATTTAATTTAATTTATAGATTGTAAAATAAATCCCCTTTTATTCTTTTTAGACTGTTCAAGATGTAGCTGCCTACACTACCATGAGCATTCTGAGTACTCATTTGCTTCATTCCATAGCTATAATTGATCAAACTTATATAACCAGGAAAGCAATGTCTCGAGCAATAGCTGAACAATTCTTTGGCTGCTTCATTACAATGCAGAGCTGGTCTGACACCTGGCTCAATAAAGGAATTGCTGAATATCTATGTGGGTTGTACTCGAAGAAATGTTTTGGAAATAATGATTACAGAGAGTGGGTTAGACAGGAATTGTTGGATGTAAGTAACAGATTATGTTGTCATATTACTTTGATGTATTATTTTACATTGTTCTGGCTTTTAGGTTGTGGCTTATGAAGAACAGTATGGTGGTATAGTTTTGGATCCCAGCCAAGCGCCTGCACCTCTTCCTGTTGCCGCTGCCTCTGGCACATCTCCTGTAACAGGTGCTGGAGGGCCCCAAGGACGAGGAGACAATCACCATGCTACAGTGGCTCAAAATAATGGACAGAATGTACACCATTTCCCTACCAGAAGTCTGCATACTATGTCACCAAAGTATATACAGGTATATGATCACACGCATTTTATTAATGTTGGATGCATTTTATTAATGCATTTTTTAGGCAATGAGAAAAAAGGCTCATTTAGTCATTAGAATGTTGGAACATCGGATTGGTCAAGAATTACTGCTGCAAGTGTTTAACAAACAATTAGCTTTGGCTACGAATGCTTCTACACAGAAAATTGGTAAAATACATTTAATTAACTTATTACATATTATGATTTTTGTTTATATTCTTATATTTAAGGCAGTGGATTATGGCATCATATGCTAATTTCTACAAATGTCTTCACAAAAGCTATATTTACTGTTACCGGCAAAGATATGGCTGTTTTTGTTGATCAGTGGGTGAGGACTGGTGGACATGCCAGATTTTCGCCGACATCAGTTTTTAATAGGAAAAGGTAATAATCAGAAATCTTGCCATCTGTTTTCTGCATTAATTAAAAAGTAAATGAATTTTCTCAATTTAATTCCTTTTTAGAAATACTGTAGAGTTGGAAATTGGACAGGATGCAGTTAGTCAAAGAGGTATTAGAAAATATGTTGGTCCATTGCTAGTTACTTTGCAAGAACTTGATGGAACTTTTAAACATACTTTACAAATTGAAAATACAGTTGTTAAAGCTGACATTACTTGTCATTCCAAGAGTCGTAGAAATAAAATGAAAAAGATTCCTTTGTGTACAGGAGAAGAAGTTGATATGGATTTGAGCGCTATGGAGTAAGTAAAGTAAAGTTATATTTTTGGCTTTTATATCCATATTGATATATTTTTTCTTTTACAGTGATTCTCCAGTTCTCTGGATTCGCCTGGATCCTGAGATGACTCTTCTTACTTAGATCAACTCAAATCGACCAGCCAGATTACCAATGGCAGTACCAGTTGAGACATGAGCGCGATGTTATTGCTCAGATGGAAGCGATTGATGCATTGGAACGCTACCCAACTCCTGCCTCGCGAATGGCTTTGACTGTCACTATTGAGAATGAACAAGCATTTTATAAAG